GACTAAAGGGGTTGATATGTGCGAGTTAATGACGCGCCTTATCAACACACTGTGTCGGAGTTCACTGCTAGTTTTTACCCTCATAACAGTGGTAGTTTTATTTTTCCCGTAAAAAAATACGATTTGAGGTATACTTTACTTTTTGAAAGAAATACTTTTTGGTTTTGATGAATACTTAAAGAAAAAAAAAATTGTTTTGAAGTCAAAAGGACGCGTCTTGGAAAGACTGCTTGATGAAATATTGCAGTAAAATAACGAACAATGAAAATCAGGTAATGATTAAGAAAATCAGGAGTCGGGGATGGAACTCACACTGTGATCAAAGTGGACGTATCCGACGTCTTAGACGACTTGGCCACCGCTCGTCTAAAGGTCACGGCGTGAATTTAAGATAAGTAAAGAGCTGATGCGCAGGCTATCCAGCTACTGAGCAACCTCCTCGACCACTGCGCATCCTCCCGCGTATAGCGGTAGCAGTCCCGGAGCATTCTGTAAATTCACTTAATTTTATAACGTGATTTTAAAAAAAACCTGGGTCCTATTTCCAAAATCTGATTAGAGTGGGCTTATCTAGTTATCTAGGGCCTCTTACCTGTCAATTTACGCAAAAATCATGGAAATCGGCTGGAAATCGGCAGAATGCTCAAGCGAACTATGACAAAAAGTATAAATTTACATTGTTTAAATGGGAGAACTCGCAACTTCACCATGTAATGTAAAGAGAAACCTGGGTCATATTTTGAAAAACTGAATAGAACGGGCTAATCTTATAGAGACAATTGCCCGTCGATAACCACAAAAATCATGAAAATCGGCCCGGTAGAACTCTGGAACTAAGCGTTACAAGTTACGCAAAATTAGGAGGTCCCGGAGCTTATACCGGGTGTCCGTAAAGTAACTGAAAAGTGGGTATAATTTTTGAACAAAAAAAGACAGAAGGTCGCGGTTTGTGGCATTCTTCATCATCCAGAGGGGGAAATTTTTCGATGGAGGGTTTTTCTTGGTGGACTCCCCTGGGGGCCCCAAGGGGGAGCAACTTTCAAAATTCAAATAGCAACCCCCATTTTTTTAGACATGGTTAAAAAGAACTTAAAAAGACAAGAAAAATGACGCAAATAAAATTAAAATCGGTTCACTCGTTCAAAAGTTACAGCCGGTCAAAATTTTAAATTGACCACTTTTCAAAAAATCACCGTTGAGCTCCAAATTACCGAAAAAACAAAAACAAACCTGGAATCAAAAGTTTGAAAACTGCCCTTTAAGGCAAGGAAAAACAACTGACGTTGTCACAAGTTTGGATGGCATTGTTTCAAAATAAAATTTCGGAAAATTCAACATGGCGGCAAATTTGAGGAAACGCGAATAATGAAAATTCCAGAAACTGTTATCTTTCAAATACCCTCTAGTTTAAGGAAATCAGTGGTATCAACTTTTTTTCCTTTATTTGGCCAAGTAAGAGCAATAATTTGCTGACTTTAAAGTTGTCAAGCGGGACGCCTTCAATCGTTGGAGTATGCGACATCACATGCACAGGATTAAGTGTGCTGTCAAAAAATGAAGCCGATGTGAAAAAGCGCTCCTCCTTTGGGATGCTTTAGTAATGTTCAAGGTCCTCATCAAAAAAGAAGAAAAGAAAAATTGAGCAATTTTTTATTATTATAATTTTTTAAAGTGGAAGATCCTATACCTGATGCTCTGTTATTCCGTCAAATGTTCAAAGTTATCTTCATTTTGCTGCAAACAATAGTAAATTTACAATAGTAATTGCCTAAATCAGAACGCAGTATGATCAAGAGAACTTAGCATACTGATTTCAGACTCGTAAATAGTGTTACCGATCAGATATTGCATCAGATATTACCTAAAATATCGGTTCCTCAAATCGTGAGGTTGAGGCTGTCAATACGATAATCTCAACTCAGATAATAATCAAGAGTAGAACGGCGTTTTCGGAATTGAAAGCGTAGCAGATATCCTTCTTGCCAACTTGGAGTGCCAGGAATTAGAGAATCACAATTATTCTTTCGTTTTCAATTTTCAGATAGAGAAATGTCAAAAATGTCAACCGCCTCTATCCCATCAGGATATACCATGTTTTTTTGGCTCACCTAGTTTGTGGGTAAAAATTGCTTAATTTCTCTTTTCTTCTTTTTTGAGGATGTGGACCTTGAACATTACTAAAGCATCCCAAAGGAGGAGCGCTTTTTCACATCGGCTTCATTTTTTGACAGCACACTTAATCCTGTGCGTGTGATGTCGCATACTCCAACGATTGAAGGCGTCCCGCTTGACAACTTTAAAGTCAGCAAATTATTGCTCTTACTTGGCCAAATAAAGGAAAAAAAGTTGATACCACTGATTTCCTTAAACTAGAGGGTATTTGAAAGATAACAGTTTCTGGAATTTTCATTATTCGCGTTTCCTCAAATTTGCCGCCATGTTGAATTTTCCGAAATTTTATTTTGAAACAATGCCATCCAAACTTGTGACAACGTCAGTTGTTTTTCCTTGCCTTAAAGGGCAGTTTTCAAACTTTTGATTCCAGGTTTGTTTTTGTTTTTTCGGTAATTTGGAGCTCAACGGTGATTTTTTGAAAAGTGGTCAATTTAAAATTTTGACCGGCTGTAACTTTTGAACGAGTGAACCGATTTTAATTTTATTTGCGTCATTTTTCTTGTCTTTTTAAGTTCTTTTTAACCATGTCTAAAAAAAATGGGGGTTGCTATTTGAATTTTGAAAGTTGCCCCCCCTTGGGGCCCCCCAGGGGAGTCCACCAAGAAAAACCCTCCATCGAAAAATTTCCCCCTCTGGATGATGAAGAATGCCACAAACCGCGACCTTCTATCTTTTTTTGTTCAAAAATTATACCCACTTTTCAGTTACTTTACGGACACCCGGTATATACCTATAATGTCTTGGCCAAGATATGAATTTTGGCCAATTTTGTTGGTTAAACTCCCAATGTGCGCGACACTGCGACGTACCCCATTAAGACGGAAAATATCTCTAGTCAGAATCGTGAAAATTGAATCCGTGTTCAACTACGCGCTGCACGCTTGGTTCGGCTCATTATGTTAAGCATTAAATGTTAAATTGTAGATGTGACAAGAATAGTTCTCTTTTTGTTGGAAAAAGAGTAAAAGAAGGGAATAAGCACAAACAACGGTGGGAGTAAGTATTGCGTGACGCACTTTTTCCTCCTTTTCTACCCCGATTGTAGATTTTTTCACATCTCCAACCTCTTCTTTCTAAGTATTTAAGTGTTGACCCCTTCCCAGCGAGTAAAAATTACATATCAGTGCCTACAATGCAGAACCACGTATCTTCGTTTGCGATGTCGCAGACTTCCCGTTAAACTTTACATTATGTTTGGAAAACTAGTTGTGGCGGCTAGCCACCACTCCTCCAACCAGCGCAGCGCAGCTCATTGGCTAATATGGACTAAGCCATGAGAGGTGCTCATCGAGTGATGGCCCTAAACAGGGCCGTTGGAAAAGGGCAAGCCAGCCGGCTGCACGATGTCCGCTGGGTGCTGTGCGACGTGAGTCCCGTGTGACTGACGGGCGCGGAGTATGAGCTAGAGATGACGGTGTCGAGCTACCCTTTTCCAACGGCCCTCCTGTTTAGGGTCATCATTCGATGAGCACCTCTCATAGCTAGGTCCATATAGTTGAAACGAAATCTTGAAAAATTATTGATTTTTCTTCCCTGCGTGTCAATACTCTGCATGAATTTTAGGTTATAGAGTTGCTTTTTAAAAGAAGGAAATATGGGAGCAGAAATTTTGAAACTTCGCAATTGAGACAAATACTGCCGTGCTGAGGAAAAACCCCGCGTGGGTTCTCAGGTGTTGCCGCATTTCCTTCAATTATAAAAACTAATTACCCGGTAAAATTGTGATTACCTATTTTTCTTTACATTTTTTAAACAATTTCAATGGCAATTGAATCTAAGAAAGTATCTAAAAATTTCGAGAAAAGCTACATAAGATTCTTGAATAATACATGTTTTATTTGGAGAAAGACACTGCAAATGCTCATACGGCGTTCTTCCTTAGTACGACAGCGTGGTTTTAAAATTTAGCAATTGATACGATGATTATGAGCGTTTTTTCCCCACCTAGTTCGGTAGTGAGCTCACTGAAAAAGAAGTTACGGGCTATATGTATAGACATACCGCCCATTCCGGGCTCAGACGTCGAAGATGCCGGGTGCCAGCGCCGTAGCTTCGACTGCTCCTGGTGCTACGCCTGGAACTTTCCGCCTCGGAGCCCGGAACACGGACGGTATGTCTATATACAGGGTTATCCAAAAGTCACTGACCACCACTGTAACTTTTTTCCAAATTGAGATAGAAGTTTGAAACTTTGGGAATATTCCTCGGTCTAAAGTAGCAACTTTTTGGTCCCTCCAATATTTTGGGGGGCGGGGGCTAACTTTTTTTTTCAAATGACAACCCCCCCCTTTGTGATACCTCATTCGAAAGATAATAAAAAAAGAAAATTTTTGGCGCAAACCGCAGGTCAAAATGTTCATTTTTGACAAAATGGCGGCCGGTCAAAGTTCAAAATGGCGGAAATGTGGCATCTCCGTTGTTTATTGACGGATTGGTGTGAAACTCCGAATCCTAGGGTTTTTCGAGATGAGAAAAACGATTCTGGCATTGGTTTTCCAGAAAAGTCAGTCCTTTTCAAAATAGCGGCGGTCAAAATGGCGGCCTAGAGCAGGAAGTGGATATATAGGCTGCATATCGTTGGATTTGCATGAAAATTGGTATCTGAGGGTATTTCGGCACGAGAAGAACGAATCTTTCATTGGATATCTGAAATTTTGACAAACTTCAAAATGGCGGCGGAAACATGGCGGGAAATCAGTTTTACGGCTGTTTACCGACGGATTTGCATGAAATTCGATATCCTGGCGGTTTTTGGCTGGTTAAAAAGGAATCTTTCATTAGATTCTTGAAATATCAAATAATTTCATGCTGTTCTGTTTGATCAGACGAAAGTGAGATGGACAACAGAAGGGACGGAATCATAGACGATGACGTAGATAAAGACGAGCGGCGGAAAAGACCGCGGACTGCTTTCACAGCATCTCAAATCAAGACGCTTGAGGCCGAATTTCAGAGGAACAAATACCTCTCCGTCGCTAAAAGGTCCTTCCTCTCCAAGACACTCCAGCTCACTGAGACACAGGTTTGTATTATGCACAAGATCCACACAGTGATCCATCCGCGCTTGAGTCGCGCGTTATTCTAGCGTTTCGCGTGGTTGCGTGGCGTGCTTCGCGATAAAATGATTGATCTGCAATTTAAACCTATAGACAAGGACCGATGAACAGGGTGTTCGCTACGAACACCTTAATAATCGATTCTTTACAATGGTTTCAAATGGGTAATATCGATAATCGATCATTTACGCATCGCCTCTGGATCGAAAACGTTTCTCCCTTTTTGATCTCAATACGACCCTCCTGACATTTTTCCATCAAATGTCACCCTTCTTTAAGTGAATAACTTAATCTCCAACATCTGCTTTTAGAAAGTTTGGGCTCATACAGTGCATACTCATTTTGTATTATTCTTGACCTGGTTTTGATTTTTTTTTGTTGATTTAACAATTAAATTGTTAAATACAGTATCAGAAATATCAACAATGAAGTTATACCTTCCGAAATGAGTGCATTACCATTTTGGTGCGGCCACACGGCCAGGCTTAAAGAAGACACATTCCCCGCTTTTACGATATACTAGGCAACCCTCGATTTTCCTTAACTAGGGGGCCACGCGGCCCAACCCCCTGAAGGCGCCCCTAGAACTTAAAAAGAGGGGGGTCTAGAGGACTTCTCCAGCTGCAGGGGGGAGGGTTGGAGCCCCGACCGCCCTTCCGGAAAGTTTTGGAAAATTTGAACGTCTCGAGAGCAATTTTAAGCCATTCTCTATGACAAATTACGAGGGTCATCCAAAGAGTAAGGTTCTTTACCTTGTATCTTCCAAAGGAAAGAAGTTAAATCAAATCGGTAAAAAGACACATACTAGGCAAAAGTACTCTAAGCTTTAAAACAAGCCCAAGCTTTTGAAAATTGGTCGAGGAATTCGCGAGAAAACTCAATTTTACTGAGACATCCTCCTGTCGCCGCGTGCCCGCACCTCAGCGGCCAGGATGCGCGGAGAGTCGATTACTTCAGACTCGGGTATTCGCCTGTAAACATCACATCAAAAAGGAATGTCAAAATTTTCATTGAGTAGGTCTTACCCTACTTTTTGACGTAGTCTCCACGTCTTCTTTGACATTTCTGGTATAATTACAGCAGCTGCTTGATGCCTTCCGCGTAGAAGCTCTCGACTTGGCTCCGAAATCAGTCATTGGCAGCGATCTGTACCTCTAAATCGGTTGGCAATCGCCTTCATCGTGGAAGTTTTTCCGATCGGAAACAGATGGAAGTTACATAAGACTAAATCAAGAGAGTATGGAGGATTGGGGAATAATTTCCCGGCTCAAAGCAACTGATTTGGAAGTGCAGATCGCTGTCAATGACATGTTTTCGGAGGCAAGGTGAGAGCTTCTACGCGGAAGGCATCAAGAAGCTGCTGTAATGATACCAGAAATTTCAAAAAAGACTTAGTGACTACGTCAAGAAGTAGGGTAAGACCTACTCAATGAAAACTTTTAAATTCCTTTTTGATGTAATATTTACAGGCGAATACCGGAGTCTGATGTAATCGACTCTCCGCTCATCCTAGCCCCGGAGGTGGGCACGCGGCGACAGGAGGTTGTCTCAGTAAAATTGAGTTTCCTCGCGAATCATTTGACCGATTTTCAAAAACTTGAGTTTCCTAAGGCTTAGAGTATGCCTAATATGTGTCTTCTTACCGATTTGATTTATCTCCTTTCGTTTGGAAGATACAAGGTAAGGAACCTAACTTCTTGGATGACCATCGTATAGAGTTCTTTGCAATACGTCTTTCCGTGCAAATAAAATGCAACCCTTATACACTTTCCGGAAAAGGTGAAATTATGTTTAGATTGACAATCCTTTTAGCGAATTTCCGCTCATTTTACCATTTGATTTTTCAGATAAAAATATGGTTTCAAAATAGAAGGACAAAATGGAAGAGAAAGTACACCAATGATCTAGAGATATTAGCACAGCAATACTACAATTCCTTGGGAATGCCTGCTCCTCGACCAATATTTTTTGGAGACAGACTTTGGTAAGAGTACGTACCGCTTATTTTTATTTGCGCGTATACGTAGTATACCGCCTTTGCGATCGTTTTGAACCCTGCTCGATACAATAACCGAGTCCCTTAGTTCCTTACCGAAAAGTGACTACCGCGAACTTCTGAGATTTTCCAAAGCATGTAAAAAGTTTATTTATCCGTCAATAATTATGATTTAAAGTTGTTTCTCATTCTGGGGCTTTCTAGTTTATGTGTAGTGAATACCAAGAGTCTAAGTTACTTGTTTTTTTTTAAAAAAAGCCTAAGAATACGCAGCGCTGATTTAAAATATGCATATATAAGCAGAATCAAGCGAACTGATTCGAGGATGGCTGACCAATTCGGCAATCTTCGAATGAGAATTTCACTGATCCGTTTCGTCCATAACGTTGCTTTGACAGATCTCCACACCCCTGTTATGCTTTTCAAAATTTGGTAGCACTGCTCCATTAGCCAGGGCAGCGTAAGTGCAATCTGTGATGAGCCTCGAGACTCATTAGACCATTTGCTAAACGTGGCTCATACAGGAATCCACCTACCCCTCTGTTCCCCACGCTCCTGATCAATGCGTCGGCGTCACGATGAACAATGGGCCTTGGGCCGCCTTGCCTCCACCTCAAATACCTCAATTACTTACGCTGGATTAACCATTTCACCGTCACGCTAGGATTCATCCAATTTTCAAAAAAAAAATGTTTCGCGTGTATTTAGCAATTTTTTCTTTACTCTCCGTCAAAACACAGATAAAAAGAGACCTCATTCATAAAAATCGGCCGAATAGAAGAGGAGTTACAGCATTCGAAATCCGAAGAAATCAACAAAACTTCTCCGTACAGAAAATAAAATAAAGGGGAAAAAAAGAAATGTATAAATTACAATTAAATATAATTGACCTCAGAATTTGACAAGCAATTCAATCATATACCTAACGGAGAAAAAACTGGGAGAAATTACAAAAAATTCGCCTCTTGCAAGGGGCTTCTTTGTAAGAATTTTGACCTGAAGACAAGGGTCGAATAACAGCAACACTCCATACAATACACGGTGTGCCTGGACGAGTTAATCATTTTTTATTCGTCCAAATCGAACAATCTTTATATTTTTGACTACAGTGTCTCTTGATTCGTTTAAGCCAAAAAAAAAGAAGAAAAAAAAATCCGTCGAGATTTTGGATTGTAAAGGGGCTTTAAAAGCATTCTGGGGCTTTAATATCTAAATCACCGGTAGTAAATCCCCTCATATTATTAAAAAGAAATTGACTCCAAAGTTTAATGCCTTAGTTTCTTGAATACGATTATTTTAAAGCACTTAAACATTTATACCGCCAATTTTAGCCATGGGGTGATTTCCTAAGAGCCGATAATATCACGAATTTCTCATAGAACTCATTCATCAGTGGCTTGCTTTTTTGGCAGCCGATTTGGCCATCAAACTGGGGTTTAAATGGAAGCTGATAATAGGTAACCCAAAGCTCTGAGAAAAATTTTGAGATGAGTATAAGAACGGTTTGTTGTAAGTAACGAGGAGAGGCGGGCAAAGCGGCTAAAATCCGATCTAATTTTTACAGTTTTTTTGTTGAATTAATGTTGCCGCGGGCTTCAGACTGTGTGCACACATAGTCTCTGTTCAGCATATCGATACGTAGGTATTTACACACGTAGAATCTAATTTTCACGTCAGGTAGTCTACATATTTCGATTTTTTCGATTTTATATGGAAATTAAAAGGATGGTTTTTCGGGATTGAAATTTTTATTGTTTTATGATAAATAAATGCACCCAAAATGACTATAGCATATTGATGTTTACATATTTGCACTCACGAAATTGGTTGGTAAATTCAACGAGTGGGTGCATCGACCTGGTATATCAAGTTTCTGCAATTTTTTACGGCAAATAAGTAGATTTTCGGGATGTAGATTGCTTACTTTCAATTCATGAATGAATAAAGCAACGACATGGTTGAACTTCTTTGCATGGAAAGACGTTTAAAATAACAAAATCAAGACTTATTTAATGTAATTGCATTTATATCGAGTCAATTTCTTTTCATTATTATAACGGGATTTATAATACCGGTGATTTGGGTATTTTAGCCCCAAAATACCTTTAAATAGACTTTATCTTCTAGGAGTTTGACAGAATTTTTCCTTTCTTCGTCTTAATAATTCCGTAGCAGGTGTTGGATCGTGAATTCTGTTGTTGTGCTGCTTGCCTATTTTGAAATCTCTGTAAATGAAAACTAAAGGGGTTGATATGTGCGAGTTAATGACGCGCCTTATCAACACATTGTGTTGGAGTTCACTGCTTGTTTTTTTATTTTCATTCTTAAAGATTGGTACATTAGCCTGAACAGAGACGCTCAATACAAGGCGACTAAGAACAAGTTACAAAACAGATGAATATTACAAACTAGCAGGAAGCCCGTGCTACGCACAGGAAAACCCCCACAATCAGCTATCAGAGTGATTAGTGATCATTTACAAAATTGTGTTTCTAGATTTGTAGTTACTTTTTCAAAATTGGCGAGTCGCACTACTTTGGTACACATGCTGAAATTAGTGGTATTAATTAAAGGATTTTCTTGTAATAGATATTTGCACGTAGTATTACATCATTATTCAACGGTCAACGTTAAAAACCAAAAAATATTGGTGAAGTTCACGAGCGCCGGTACTTGCCAAGTGATAATATCCGCTCACTGGTCTGTGAAGCATACTGTTGATACGTTTATATCATCCTCTCTTGTTAAACTTTATTAGTAAAGTTTTCATGTCGCATTGTTTTTTAAAAGAAACTATGAATTTGGTCCAGCTATATGTTCTCCTCTCCTTACAATTTATGGAATATTTTAGGGGGTGGAGGAGAAGCTATTAAGCATTATGTGTATAATTAAATAGGGGGGTGTGTTGGGTTACATAGTTGTGTTATATGGGAAAGGGGGTTCAAAATTATCAATGAATTGAGTTCCCTATCTTCTATACTATAAGCTCCGAGACCTCCTAATTTTGCGAAACTGGTGACGCTTAGTTCCAGCGTTCTACCGAGCCGATTTTTATGATTTTTGCGGCTATCGACGGGCAATTGTCTCTAGATAAGCCAACTCTTTTCAGATTTTCAAAATATGGCCCAGGTTTTTTTTATATTAAATGGTAAAGTTGCGAATTCTCCCATTTAAACAATGTAAATTTATTTTTTTTGTCATAGTTCGTTTGAGCGTTCTACCGGGCCAATTTCCAAATTTTTTGCGGTAATTGACGGGTAATTGGCCCTAGATGAGCCGGCTCTTTTCAGATTTTGGAAATAGGACCCAGGTTTTTTTACAATCACGTTATAAAAGTGAGTGAATTTTCAGAATGCTCCGAGACTGCTGCCGCTATGCGCAGGAGGATGCGCAGTGGTCGAGGAGGTTGCGCAGTGGTCGAGGAGGTTGCGCAGTAGCTGTGTAGCCTGCGCATCAGCTCTACACTTATCTACACAAGATTAGCTCCTAACCTCCTCAAGACGAGCGGTGGCCAAGTCGTCAAAGACGTAGGAAGCGTCCACCTAGATCAAGGTGTGGGTTCGATCCCCGTCTCCCGATATACTTAATTATTACCTGATTAAAATTGTTCGTTGTTTTCCTGCAATATTTCATCAAGCAGTCATTCCAAAACGCGTCCGTTAGACTTCAAAATAAATTTTTGTTTCTTTATTCATCAAAACCAAAAATTATTTCATTCTGAAAGTAAAGTATACCTCATATCGTAATTTTATAGGGGAAAAATAAAACTAACACCGATAGGAGAGTAAAAATAGGGCCGCGAAGCGGCCCATTGATGGCGCGGAGCGCCTTCAGGGGGTTGGGCCGCGTAGCGGCCAGGGGGCGTAGCCCCCTAGTTTCTAATGGCGATTCGAACTGTTTCTGCTTACGTGGTTATGATATTTTTCTCCGCGATATTTGCGATCCATGTTTAGAATAGGTCTGTTTTCAGAAAATCGTGTGCGCCGATCTAAAAATCCTAGGGAACCATATTTGTGATTCTTATGTTAAGTGAGGGGGGGGGGCTGCGGAGTAGCCGAAGGGGCCTGTCTGCAACCTTCAATGATGAGATTTGCAATTTTCCTTGAAAGTTTTCCAATGTTGAACATTGAAATCACAAGTTTAATTCCTCAGGATTTTGTAATCAGCGCACACGATTTTTTGAAAACAGGGCTATTTTAAAGAGCTTCATGCAAAAACGGCTTTGTTCGCCCCTCCCCCCCCTTTGGAATTTCTTCAGACTTTGTCTATTGATTACTCATACTTGAGTGCTTCTTTTCCCAAATTTTCACTGTTACCTATTAAATCAGATTGAATGTTCAAACTGAGCAAAATGCATTATTTAGGACCCTTGAGGGTAGCTGAGTTCAGAAATTACAGATACCTCCAAAAAATTCAAGGTTTTAAAATTACAGCTCCGTAGCGCTATTTTAGAGGCCCCGGCCGCTCATTGGTCTTGTGCGGAGCTGTAATTTTAAAAACGTGAATTGTTTGGAAGTATCTGTAAGTTCTGAACTCAGCGACCCTCAAGAGTCCCTAATAATGCATTTTGCTCAGTTTGAATATTCAATCTGATTTAATAACCGTGAAATCCGACTTTTTTGCGCGCGAAAATCGGTCGGCGCGCGTTAAGTGGAAACTTCAATCGATCATAACTCCGGAACCGTTTGGTTCTCCAGCTTAATGGACCACTCGTTGGATGCGGAAAAATACGAACAATTTAAAAAACTGCTTTCGATTCAAATGAAAAATTGAGATCTTTGTAAAATTTTTGTTTGAAAGAAATTTTCTAGACCCAAAAACTGGAAAAAGACACATATGTTGACTTACAAACGTGATATCGGGATTTCGACATTTGGAATCTTAAAGTATGCAATTTTAGACGATTTTTCGTCCAAGCCGGACCTCGATATCTTTCTTCGTTCGAGAGATACCTAGGTTCACATGTTTTGACCTCCACCCCCCTATAG